CATAATCTCCTGTCCCTAATTTTTGATGATTTTGAGATTAAGGAGCAAAAAGAAGAATTGGGGTTCTAAATTCTTGGTTTGCGCAAGTTCTGATATTATTTCTTTTTGAGTTTACAAGGTATATACATTGGCTTAAGCCTTAACCTTTTATGGGGTTTTCTTGTTATTTGTGCTGAATCTTTTTATCAATATTCCAAGTTTGATGGAGAAGGAAAGTTTTTAAGGTTCTTTTTGGAAATACCCAAATTGGAAATCTCAAAAAGTTACCTTTTTTGTTGTTATTATTATCTGAATATTTGAGTTCTTTCAAAAAGATTTTATTTTTCCGTTTAGTTATGATGAGGTAATTGGAAAGCTCATATTTTTTTGAATTTTAGATTTGAATAATGATAGTGGGATTTTGTTGAGCTGGTTGATCTGGAATTTTGATTTTTATTTTCAGAAATTCCAGGTTGTAACTTGTATATTCCCAGTAATTGAGCTAAATTCAACTATTTTTCAGGGTCAATTGTTTGTTGTTATTTTCTTTTATGACCTATTTTTAGGGCTTTTCATTAGCTGTCAAATTATGAAGCTTTGGTTTAAATTGAACTTGAACATGCTTTGACTGGTTAGATTTAATTGCTAACGAAAATGTAGAAAATAAAAGGAGAAGAATATAAATTAAATTATGTATTTTTTTTAATTAGAAACGTGCTGATGTCTCACTTTGTACTTGAATAATGGCAATATTGTAGGCCAGATTCAATGGAACAAGATCCCTCTTTCTTTGGGGTTCTATGGCTTTATCTTAATTCAAAATTCAAGGTTTCTGTACTCTTGTATAGTAATAATTGAAAACAATAATAATAATTTCCATCCTTTTTCTTGATATTTGCTTAAGCATAACATGCCTGTCTTAATGTTTTATTTGCTATCATTTTGATTGTATTCATCTTCTTACCCTATCTTTCTTGCAACAGAAACAAATCAATCATTTAATTTTGATAAATTCTTGGATATAGGAAAATATGGCCTTGACATTTACCCCATTGTCATGGTTGCTTTGGAGTGGAAAGCATCAAGAACCTAAAATCTCAAATGGTTCATCTTTAAATTCATCACCTGATTCAGGATTGTGGGAATTGGATACATTGAAGTTTCCTCTCGACCGAAGGAGGAACATGGCTTCCTCATCTAGAAAGGTTAAGCGGAAATGGCAGAGTCGTGAGGAGCGAAAGATTGATCGGGAATATGATATTGTTATTGTACCATCGGATGGTGGATGTGTTTCAGGTTCCGAGTCTGATGATTCCGACTGGTCGGTTGGATGGTTGGAACCTCACGGCCCTGGATTCCATAGCGACGATGATTCTGATGATAGTTTTGCTGTGCTTGTTCCTTGCTATGGCTGTGGTTGTGCTAATGTGGAAGAAAATGGACAAGACAAGTTTCTGCAAGCCATGGGAAACTTGAAGGATATATATGCTACTGGTAATAGTCTCTTTCTGTTATGTCCTTGTTATTTGAATATGCTTTCTAATATTGTTGTTTGTATCTCTTGGATGACGCGGAAAATTGGCCAATGATTTTCAAAGATTATTAAACACCTTACTATTAAAGACCTCATAAAAGGCTTCTCTTGGGTAAATCGTTTATTGCTGGTAAATTGGGCCATTAAGGTATACTAAGAGAAACATATGTATTGATATTCATATAGATTTGCTGCTTTTGCAAAATACCTGACTCATGTAGGCTCTTTTTTGTTGAAAGGGTTTAATCAAATATCTCAGTTATATGTACTATAACTAAGGGGATTATGAGGATGTAGACCACTAATCTTCTTTATACAAAGGCAACGCCCTGCTGGTTTCTCATGCTAAATTTTAGTCTTTTATATTTTCACATAGTTAACAAGAGATTAGGGTTGAGGCATAGTAGTACTAGTTAGTAGTTGTTGCAGTTAACAAGAGAGTATGGAAGGCCTGAGTGAGTAGCAGACGTCAGGAGACTAGAATTCCACCTCGTGACACTTTGCCGCTAGGTTGTTCCCTTGGGGACCTCATTGATCAAGGGAGTTAACAAATTCCAAAACCTGTATTGATACAGCATGAATGATGACACAATTGCTTCTCGACACTAAGAGAGGAATGTGATAATGCTTTTACAGCAACTAATTTGATGAACACCTTTGTTTCTTATGTGTTTACAAATCTGAGTATTCAGTTTAGCTGGAAAGGCTTTCAAAAGTTGAAATAGTTTCACTCTTGCTAGTTTTGTAAAGTACATTTTTTCCAACTAGAAATTACTCTTAAAGGGACACTTATCGGCTTAAAATTTTGCTTCCTCTTCTTAATGTGCTGAAAACTAGTACTATCAGATCTCCTTCAAATCCACTTCCTTAATTGCAAAAAGCTTCCCGGCAGTAAGTTGGTGACTTAATGAGGCTCCTTTCATTCAGATTTTTTTATTGAATGGTCATCTTATTGCCTATAGGCTTCTGTAATCCAGAGAAACTAGGTTGTACTTCTTTGGCCCTCTTCTTTTCTCTTTCAGAAAGGTGGCAGTGTTAACTAGTTATAGAAAAGACAAGAGTGCCATGGCCAACCAACATTAGAAATGGAACATTTTCCCTTGTTATATTCAAGGAGCATCTCCAACGCAATAAATTACTTGCCCCTTGAACTCTTCTCGCACTGTATACTCTACAACAACAACAACCACGCAGCAAAATCCCACAAGTGGGGTCTGAGGAGGGTAGTGTGTACGCAGACCTTACCCCTACCCCTAAGGGGTAGAGAGGCTGTTTCCGAAAGACCCTCGGCTCAAGATAATAAAAAGAAGACAAAAGGAGAGGATATTAGATTCATCACGGAGATCATAGGAAAAATAGGAACATAAAATGCAGAAGAAAAATGCAAAGCAAAAACGGTGGCTAGTAAATGGATCCAACGTCGAAAAAGAAAATAGTAAGAAAATGTATACTCTATGTTCTATATAACTAGGATCTTGGTCTTGTCCTAAATCACTTAATCAGTTAAGAGGAATTTAGCACCTCGTCTTTTATTATCAATATTTTGTGCATAGATTTGCATGATTCTGTTATTCCTTGTTGCACAATATATATATATTGTGCAACAAGGAATATATATATATATTTACTTTGCTGTTATTTGAAAGTCCTCATCTTTGCTACAACATTGTTCTTTAGCTATAACACGTATTCTAATTTGTAAAATTTTCCCTTAAATTTTTTAGTTTCTTTCTGATTGAGCATAAAATTTTCAATAATGCATTGAATTAGATAAAGAAACAAAAAAAGATCTATAAAGAGTAAACTATTGGTAGCTTTCCCTTTCAAGACACATTTATTTTAGCTTTGTACTTTGTATGATTTAGGCTTTCTTGATTTTGGAATTTTACATGCAGAGAATAAGAAGTATATGGAGCACTGGGTCTCATCTCTGAGGAATCGCTGAAATCTAGCAGTGAAGGTCGTGGTCTGCTCCTCCTGATTCGTTGTTGCAGCGGATCAAACTTCAGCTGTTTTGTTACTCATTACAATCTTAAATATGGACTTCATAGAAATCTAAGATCGAAAACAAAATAAGATCGTAAAAAGGAAAAAAAAAATATCTGGGAGAAATTGATTTGTGAAAAGAGTTCGGCCTGAAGGACATTAATATTTAAGGAGAAGAAACAGCAGAGGACAGAGGAATAATGCTGTTTCCTATCCACTTGAGATCTCAAAAAATAAAAAATAAAACAGAGATATAGAAAAAAATACAAAAAAGTAAAAGGAACTATGGTTTCTTGTGTGACTGTTCTCCAGAATTGGCTTTGAAGATGTGACTTCTTCTTGCTTCTTGAACGTTGGTGTAAATTTGCAGTGGAAGGAGAAGGAAAGAAACAGATGAGGGAAGACAAAGAATTCTTGAAAACAAGATTAGCAAAAGGGATGGTTGTGTGTTATGCCTTTTTTTAAATCATTTTTTTGATGTAAATATCTGTGAATATGTAAATATGTTTTATCCAGTTGTAAATATGTCCATCCAGTTGTATATGTGTGGATTGGCTGATAACCTTCATAAGTACTGTAAATAATTAGTAACTTATGATGTCATTAGTTGCAATAATATGGCACTGCTGTTTAATAGTGATATTTTCCCTCCCTCTCTGTATCCCCAAGTTGTTATCCTATACTTCCTAATTTTAATGGGCTATGTTGTTATTGAAAGGGAGTCTTGGCGTACTGGTAAAGTTATTGTCGTGTGACCAGAAGGTCACGGCTTCGAGCTGTGGAAATAGTCTGTTGCAGAAATGCAGGGCAAGGTTGCGTACAATAGACCTTTGTGGTCCGACCTTTCTCCGAACCCCGTGCTTTGCAGGAGTTTAGTGCACCGTACTGTTCTTTATGTTGTTACTGTAAACCTTATTAAAGTTGTTGGGTGGAAAGAAATGAAAGGAAACTTTATTGACATGGAGAAACAAATATAATGCTTCATTTTATTTATATGACTATTTGGAGGATCAAATAATTTTTTCTTGTATCACAATATTTCTTACATAGTTTTAATTATAAAAAAATTGCAATTATAGTACTTTATTTAGTTTCTTAGTATGTACCAACATTTTATTCTAAAATTATTAAAAAATTAATGTCCGAATTAAGATCGAAAATTAGAACATTTGATTTTAGAATTCGGATCCTGTCATTCTTTTTGAAATGTAAGAAATAGTAATATTTTCTTCTCCCCTCCAACATTACAAAAAGAAAAATAGAAAGATCATGTTAATGTTGTAACGGTAAAGTATACGCAGACCGTACCCCTACCCTATGGAGATAGAGAGACTGTTTCTCGACAAATAAGATTTTAAAAAAAAAGGAGAAAAGTCAAACCATTGCATCCCTCACCAAAAAATAAAGAAAGAAAAGAAGAGGGAAGGACATGCAAGCCATAATGTTATGTTAAACTATATATCAGCTGGCAGATCCAGGAATTGCCAATTGTTGAGTTAGTTAATGGGGTTCCTACACTTGTGCTGCTTATTGTTTCTATAGAGATCTAATACCTCTTCTTTGACCTAGTATGTTATGTTTCGCTCAACACATCATGTACATTCTCCTTAAACAAAATTCTTTATTTTTTTTGCCTCTCAAGAATAATAATCATAAATGTGTTTATTTATATGCTGGATCTCGTCTCATCTCATCTGCTAGATGATGAAAAACAATGTGTTATGGCCAATAAAGAAAAGCAAGTAGTTGTATAGTGAGGGAAAAAAGGAAGGGAAAGAATGTTACACAGAGCAGCAAGAAATGCATATTCATGGTGGTGGGCTAGCCATATTAGAACAAAGCAGTCAAAATGGCTGGATCAAAACCTCCAAGGTCACTTCCTTATATTCTATATCTTCTTATGATGCAATCCTTTTAGAGAATTTTCAACTACTCAAATTCATCAACTGTGCCATATAACATGTTATTTTATCAAGAAAATAACAGAATGTTGAATTACTAGTGTTTTTTTAACTGTATAGGCAAATTTTTTAATGCAAATGTTTGTAGTTCCAATGAGCCATAAAAGAAAGAATACTAGAATGCTGGACCAAATAATAAAACTACTATAGCAGGGGTAGAGGTAGGCCAAAGAAGTCCTAGGGGAAGTGATTAGGCGGGACATAGCGTAGCTGGAGCTAAAGACATGATCCTTGATAAGAATGTGTAGTGGTCGAGGAGTAGGGTAGTAGGTTAGTAGGTCGTCCAGCGTTCTCCGTATGTCTTGCTCAGCTCGATAGCATTAGTGTTAGTATGATATCTCCTTATTCTTAGATTGTTATTACTACTTGGTATTTACTTGCTTTCTTGGTTTTGATTTTCTTGTTTTATCTTGTTGTTATTACTACCTGTTGCCGTTACGTTTTTCATTCTTTCTTTAGTCGAGGGTCTATCGAAAACAGCCTCTCTATCCTTCCAGGGTAGGGGTAAGGCTGCGTACATCTTACCCTCCCCTGCGTACATCTTACCCTCCCCAGACTTCGTGGGAACTCACTGGGTTGTTGTTGTTGTTGCATAGTTGCTTCCTATTTGGGTATTAACAAAGGGTTCAAATTATATACACTGATAGTTTCAAGTAGGGGTGTACATTCGATTTATCGATTCGATTTTGACCCTTATCGATAATTACTTATCGATTATCGATTTGTACATATGCTTATCGTTATCGTTTCAATAAGGTTTCGATTTTTTCGATTTCGATTTATCGATTTTGGGGGCTTATCAATTCGGTTATCGATTACACCAATAAGAAAATTTGCGGGATTCCACGGAAAGTATATCGCTATAAACGTGCCTAACTAATATGGACAAAAAGAAGCTAAAATAAGACGAACACCATTTATAATATAAAAATTGTGTCAACAAGCACATGCAACAAAACTAAAGTAAGGGATCAAATGTATGTCACCAACACTCCAACGGTATAAAAAAAACAAAACAAAACAAAACACATCATCACGGCTAATTCTGTTTTCCATTAATTTGAACTTCATTCCCTTGATCTTTAAATATGATCATTCCTTAAATGTGGTAGAGGAAATAATAGGGTAAGGGACTTAGGGTAAAGGAAAGGGTATAGATTAGGGAAAATAATATTGTACAGCCGCTTTCAAAATAGTAGCGGAATATATATATACATTCTGTATGTTATATTAATCTACACAAATAGGTAATTGCTCATTTAACAAGTGTCTACAGTCTGGGGGTGTGCATTCGATTTTGACCCTTATCGATAATTACTTATCGATTATCGATTTGTACATATGCTTATCGTTATCGTTTCAAAAAGGTTTCGATTTCGATTTCGATAACAAATAATCGATTCGATTTATCGATAAACCGATTCGAATGCACACCCCTAGTTCAAGATTTTCCCACTATCAGTGTAATTAACTTATTATATCAGGTTATTTTCTGGGTTATCATATAATGTTTGTTATAAATAGTTACTTGTTAATGTAGGTAACTTAACTTGATGGTGTAAAAGTATTACGTTAGTGTACAAAACTTAAACTCACTAACAAAGATAGAGTTGGATATCTTGGCATTTCTCACTTGGGACCTTCGTCACAAGGCCTTGATTTTAACTCCTCAGCTAAGGCATAATTAGCTAATATAAATAAATCTAGCTTCCTACTATTTGTCTTGAAAACACTGAAAGTAGAAAAAGAATAATGACAAAGGATTTTCTTAGATCAGTATAACAGTATAACTCAGAAGGGGAGCCTTGGAGCAAGGGTAAAGTTGTCTCCGTGTGACCTATAGGTCACGGGTTCAAGCCGTGAAATCGGCCACCGATGCTTGCATCAGGGTAGGCTACTTACATCATACCCCCTTGGGGTGAGGCCCTTCCCCGGACCCTGCGTAACGCGGGATGCTTCGTGCACCGGGCTGCCCTTTACTACAGTATAACTCACAGTCTACATCTATCTCTTTTTTTCTGTTGTCTTATAAATGCAAAGGGTTCTCAGACATGTATGATGCTTGTGATTAAACAGAAGAGAAAGAAATGAAGTGAAAGGAAAGAGCTGATTATTTTGCTTGTTATTTGCAGATATGGAGGAGAAGGTTGAATATGTACTCAAAATCATAGACGAGGATGGAGAATCCTTTGCAAGCCGCGCAGAGATGTATTACAGAAGAAGGCCTGAGCTTTTGAACTTCGTAGAAGATTTTTTCCGGAGTTACAGAGCTTTGGCAGAGAGATTTGATCATTTATCCAAAGATCTTCAGACTGCTAATCGAACCATTGCTACTGTTTACCCCGAGAGAGTTCAACTGTCGATGGAGGATGAAGATGGAGAACATTTTCTTGCTGCAATAGAACCTCATAATGAATCTAATGATCCTCCCAAAAGCTTACCAGCCGCGCCAAAGTTAAGTGTCCCAAAAGTTCCTTCTTTTGCCAAACGAAACGCCAAACCTTCAAGATTAATGTCAAAGAAGGGACTGATCAAATTCAATGTTGACGATGCAATTGCTGCTGCTCGTCCAACTTCAGGTCTGAAAAAGTCTGAGGCACTCCAGGAAATCGATAGGCTTCAGAAGGAGATTTTGGGACTTCAGACTGAGAAAGAGTTTATCAAGAGCTCATACGAAAATGGGCTAGCGAGGTATTGGGAAATTGAAGAACATGTCACCGAGATGCAAACAAAAGTTAGCAGCTTGCAAGATGAGTTTGGCATTGGCACGATGATTGAGGATGAAGAAGCTCGGACATTGATGACTGCCACAGCTCTCAACTCTTGCCAAGACACCTTGGCTCGGTTGCAGGAAAAGCAGAAGCAATCAGTGGAAGATGTCATCGCTGAGCATCAAAAAATATTAGAGGTCCTCGGAAAATTTGAGACTCTAAAGGGAAAATTTGTCAGTCACCTGCCACATCCACAAGTCCTCTCTGAAGTAAATAAGTCTTCTAATCCAGATTCAGAATTGAAGAAGCTGAACCGTCAAGTGGAAACTTCTGAAACAGAGAAGCATAATCCAGAGAAAGTGCATTCGAAAGTTAAGGAGTTGCAAGCTAATTCTGCCACTTCTTCCATGTCCGATTTGGCAGAGAAGGTTGATGAACTTGTTGATAAAGTCATATATTTGGAAAGCGCACTCTCTTCCCAGAATGCTTATGTAAATAGATTAAGAGCAGAGACAAATGAACTTCATTCACATCTGACCAAAGCCGAGGAGGAGAAGGGGACTTTGGTTGAAGATTCAGGGAGCATGAGCAAGAGGATAAGACAACTAGAGGAAGAACTTCTCAGTGTTCAGAATCTCAAAGACTATCACCACCAACCTCATCTTACTGAAGCAAGTTGCAGTTTTGATGATCTCTCTGAGAAATTGCACAATAAGAGGAAAGATGAAGACGTCAAAGATACTTTGCCATCCAATAAAGTAATCGGCGTTTCAGGTGTCGATAAGGCAGAGCACTTTCAAGCTCAAGAAGCAACCATTCCGGGAGCAAATGTTCTGGGTAGCTCCAAAGGTATAAGCAGTAAGGATTGTCTGAAGAAAGAAGTCTTGCAAGAACAGGAGGGTTGTCTTGAAGTTGACCAGCAAAACTTTGTTAAAAGCCACTTGAGCAACGATGCTCGAGATGGACAGACGGGTGTCGCTTTAGAAGCTAACCAGGGTGTTTCAAGTGTCTATAAGGCAAAGCAGTTTCAGGTTCATGAAACGATCATTGCAGAAAGAAATGTTCTAGGTATCTCCAAAGGTGTTAGTACTAACGACCGTCTGAAGAAAGAAGGCTTGCAACAACCGGAAGGTTATCTTGAAGATGACCAGCAAAATTATGCGGAAAGCCACTCGAGCAACGATACTCAAGATGGAAAGAGGATTGGCACTTTAGAAGCTAACTACGGAGTTTCAGGTGTCGATAAGGCAAAGCAGTTTCAGGTTCATGAAGCAGTCATTCCCAGAGCAAATGTTCAAGGTATCTCCAAAGGTGTTTGTACTAACGACGGTCTGAAGAAAGAAGGCTTTCAACAACCGGAAGGTTGTCCTGAAGATGACCAGCAAAACTATGCGGAAAGCCACTCGAGCAACTATACTCGAGATGGAAAGAGGGCTGGCACTTTAGAAGCTAACCATGGAGTTTCAGGTGTCGATAAGGCAAAGCAGTTTCAGGTTCATGAAGCAGTCATTCCTGGAGAAAATGTTCTACGTATCTCCAAAGGTGTAAATAGTAAGGAAGGTCTGAAGAAAGAAGTCGTGCAACAACTGGAAGGTTGTCTTGAAGATGACCACCAAAACCACGTTGGAAGCCACTTGAGCAACGATTCTCGAGATGGACAGACGGGTGGCACTTTAGAAGCTAACCAGGGATCAGGATTGACAGACAAAGAGATGATGACCATGACTACCCCCCATTTGGTGGCATCAGAAGGTGTACGTGTGAGGGAGAAATTGAAGACAGATATATGTGCAGATCAAGATCATTCTGGAAAAGCTGAATATACTATGTACACGGACTCCAAATTTGGTAATGCCTATAATAGTTTTCAATCTGAAGATGCTGCTGCCAGTCAACAAAACTATTACAAAGGAACTGAATATAATGTCAAGTCTCCTGATTATGATGCAATGATCTCAAAGCAAATCGGGATTGGACAGGAAGCAAAGAAACAAGATAACCTCATCCCATTTGAAGATAAAGAAGAAAAGTTTCCAAAAGCCGATCTTCAAAATGACCAAGACAATTTTCCCAAAAATGGCCCTTTGGAGGAAGCAGCGGATGTTGGGATAGAAAAAGGTTTTGACAGAAGTCAACACGGGCATGTCGAGCAAAGGTGGACAAATGATACTGCTAACAGAAGTGATGATTTTCCCGGTTCTGCTCCTGTTAATCAGAAGAAGGATTCCAAAGAAAGTGAATGTGTCACATCTCCTGGTTGTGATGCAATGATCTCAAAGCAAATCAGAATGGGAGAGGAAGCAAAGAAACAGGATATTTGGGATAACCTCATCAAAGGTAAAGCAGAAAAGTTGTCCATATCCGACCTTCAGTATGATCATGACGATTTAACAAAAACTGGTTTTGCAAAGGATGCAGAAGAAGTTGAGATAGAAAAAGGGTTTGGCAAATGTCAAGACGTGCATGTTACAGACCATGGCTCAGCCACCAGGAAAAATGTCGGGAAGGTCGAGCAAACGGGCACAAACTATCTAGCAGACAGAAGGGACGATTTTCCCAGTTCTATCAAAGATAAAGAAGAAAAGTTTACTAAAACCAACCATCAGAATCACCTGAATGATTTTTTCCAGGACACGCCATCAACGGATTCTCCAGATGTCAATATAGAGAGAGGATTTGTTGGAAGTGAAAGTTTTCTTATTTCAAATGATGACTTGGCCACAAAAAGACATGTGAAGAAGGAAAAGCAAGCCGGGGCAAAAGATGCTGCGGACAAGCATGATCATTTGAACATTTCTGTTGAAGGTAAAGAAGAAAAGCTTTACAAAACCTACCACCAAAATTATACAATGAATCGTTCCCAGAATTCTCCACTGAGGAATTCTCCCGAGGCTAAGATGGAAATGAGTTTTGGTGAAAGTGAGATACATGTTTCAGATAATGAATCCGCCATCAGAAGAGATATGAGAATGGAAGAGCATGCTGGCACCACAGCTAATGCAGAGAAGAGTGATTGTTCGCACATTCCCCCGGAAGGTAAAGAAGAAAATATTCAGAAATCCAACCATCCGATTAACCAGTATGATCTCCCTATAAGGAATGCTGCCGAGATCAAGATGGAGAAGGCATTTCGTGAAAGGGAACGCATAAATATTTCAGATGATTTCTCAGCTATCAGAGAAGAGAGAACAGACGAGCTAGCAGGTAAAGCAAAGATATTGCAGATATTACTGGTGATTTTCTAAGTTCTGTCAAAGTTAAAAAAGAAGCTTTCTTTTTTTACATTTCTAACTTTACGAACAATACAGTGAGGGACGATCCACATGCAGAGATGGAGGAATCCGACAAAAGTCGGTCTTTGAGTTCATCCAATGATTCAGCTATCTCAAAAGATGTTAGAGTTGAACAGCAAGCAAGCAGAATTAATGTTGCAGACAAGTGTGCTTCTTCTACAAGCGAAGAGGGGAAAATCTCTTCCGACCAAGGAAGTTATTTCAATGATCTATTGCAGGTTAGTCCATCTGGAGCTACTCAAGATGAGATTTCAGGAAGGGGATTCAAGGAAAATGTTCATACAACGAATCCTCCTCGTCATGATTCAATATTCTTTAAAGACGCGGAGATACAACTTCAGAAGCTGGAATATGATCCTTCCAATTCAGAGAATTACCGTGATAACATACAGGTGAAAGGTCAAGGAAGCACTCTTCAGAAGTCCACTCCAGAAAAATCTTACCAAGATGAAGGTACAGGAGCATCCATCAGTGGCTCAGGGACCTCAATCGGTATGGACGACAAAGGTAGAGAGAAGGTAGGTGATGATCATGATGTCAATGTAGCGGTTGGATCTGCCACAGAAAGTTTCTCCAAATTGAATGAAAGCAAGCAATCAGAAAAATCTTTAAGAAAAATAGATTTCCGGAACAATATCAAGTCAGAGGAGCAAACCAATGATTTCATTCAAGTAAAAACAGATGGCGACTTTCCACAAACCAATTGGCATAACCAACTTGAAAAACATTCAGCAAAGGTCCAAGTGAGAGATATTCCAAGCACTGGCTCCGATAACGAGCTAGAAGAATGGGAAAGTATTTTAGATAATCTTCCATCCGTCTTAAAAGATAGTAAGAGAGAAGACGTACACAAGGATGAATTCTCAGATCAAGGTTCCTGTGCTCTTAAGCTGTAAAAAAAAATACTCTCTCTCTTTGTCAACTAAATTAATTAACCTATGGCAGTTGTTGCAGGGAATCAAGAGTTCAGGACAGTTCACAACGGGCTCTACATGGAACAAGATGAATCGGGATTAGAGGATGACCAACCAAACTGGAGAGAACTGTTCCTAAACAGCCTGGATGACAGAGAGAAGATACTACTTGAGGAGTACACATCAGTTCTTCGGAATTTCAAGGGTGTGAAGAAGAAGCTCAATGATGCGGAGAAGAAAAGGAGAGCGAGCCACTTCCAATATGTTGTGCAGATGAAAGTTCTAAAGAATGCTAATGCCTTGAAGGATGCACAGATTCTGTCCTTACAGCACAGATTGAACTTGCTTCAGTCAAAAGATGTTGAAACAGAGTTCTTGGATAAAGCACTCTCACATTCCACTGACATGAGAACGGAAGAAACTGCACCAGAAGAGACAAGAATCTTAGATATTGGGGACGATGACGGAGATATCAAAGTTACTGATGTTGATGAAACACACTCCTTCACTACTGTTGAGGAGAAAGTACGGATGGACATTGATGATTTGCTGGAGGAGAACATAGAGTTGTGGCTCAGATTTAGCACCTCATTTCATCAACTACATAAGTTTCAAACTTCAGTTCAGGATCTACAAGCTGAAATAAAGAAAGTGAAGGAAGAATGCAATCAAGATACAGGTCAACCACAGTCGCTACTCTCAGGCATCCGCCCAATCTATAGACATCTAAGAGAGATACAAACTGAGTTGACCTTGTGGTTGGACCATAATGCAATGCTGAAAGATGACTTACAGCACAGGTTATCATCTCTATCTAATATTCTCGATGTGATAACAAGACTGTCAAAGTCAGGGTCTAAAGAGAATGATCCAGTGCTGAATGCCTATCAAGCAGCAAAATTTCAAGGTGAGATTTTAAACATGAAGCAGGAGAACAATAAGCTAGCAGGTGAACTCGAAGTAGCCATTGAATGTATACGGAAACTCCAAGATGAGATCCGGAGCACATTGTCAAACCTGGACGAAGAACTTGGGCTGAAAAACCAACAAGCAAGGCCTCGATCTAGAATTCCCCTGAGGTCCTTCTTGTTTGGAGTGAAGTTGAAGAATAAGAGGCCATCCATATTTTCCTGTGTAAATCCAGCATTGCAGAAACAGTACAGCGATTTAACAGCAGTACCAAAATAGATGACTTTTTAGCAGCAGTAGCTAAATAGATGTCTCTTGTTTCCCCTTCTTTTCTCTCCCCTTTAGCTCTCTTGTAGTCAATTCTTAATATTTGAAAATTTATTGAAGGGAAAGAGGTGACCTGCCTTTATTGAGTAGGAGTGCCAGATTTTCTCGTGAATTAAAGAATTGCCATGTTCTTATTTTCAACTATTTTGTTCTTCTCAAATTCACCAATTTCTGCAAACTACACAGCTCTTTCTTTAAGACCTGGTTTCACATATTGAATAAGCCTACTTCAAATACTTTTGCTGAGTTTATAGATTTAAACAAGGTTCCATTGTTATAATCTGCATTGAATTGCCACAATATGTCGATGCAGCAGTTTTTCTGATCATATCTTGTTCATTGAATTTTTAGCACAACATTTTGGAAGCACCAAAAATAGTCTCTAACCTAGTACCTCAGCAACATATGACAAACAACAACAACAACAAACCCAATGATTTCTCACAAGTGGGGTACTTGTCTGGGGAGGATAAGATGTACGCAGCCTTACCCCTACCTTGGAAGGGCAGAGACGCTATTTCCGATAGATAAGATGTATGCAGCCTTACCCCTACCTTGGAAGGGCAGAGACGCTATTTCCGATAGACCCTCGGCTAGAGATATGCCAATATTACTCACTAAAAATAACCACCACCCGGAGATAATCAACCCTCAACAAGGGAACATATAAAAGAATCTTGAATTGTCACCTAAATATAGACAAGACCATAGGAGAATACATTTACATAGATGAAAGCTGAAGCACAAAACAGCAGGTGCGAATTAGACATTACATACAGAGCACATCCGGCCAGTCACTCCAATTTACTCTCCCCCATCCTTAGTGCCTCACCTAAATCCCCTACCTCAACTCTCTTTGAAGACTTTATTACATGTCTCGGGCGCAGGACCTTGAACACCACTACTTTCAAGTGCCAAAACTATTTTAGTGTTCTCATTCTTATTGCTATTCTCACCCTGGTTCCTGATGCTACTATTGCTGGCAGTCTCTAGACTTGGGATTAGCTTTTCTTGAGCCCGAACTCTTGAAGCTTTACTCTCTCCTCCGTGCTCTTTCACTGTGTGACCTAAAATTGAAGTTTGACCTTCAATTTTCTCTGTCAACAAGTTGATTGAACCAAAAGTTTGACCTTTTCGGACCTGTTGTGCATCCATTGAAGCAGCTCGATCAACTTCAACTTTCTCTATCCGTGCATTAGACAGAATAGCAGTTGGATTTTCTTGGATAGCGACTGCTTTAGTTTTTGCTTCAAGTACCCTTGCTGAAGAAGATGTAGGGGCAGCGGGAACCCCAGATGACACATTTGTTTTGGATGGAACAGCCCCTAGGTTAGGTCGAACTGCAGATTGTGAAGCATTTGACGGACCGCAACCTGGGGGACGAGAAACCAGGCCATTTCGAATGAAGTGCACATTACTGGGCAAACCATTAGTGCTACCTGGCACAGATGATTTGACTGCTGGAGTTCCTCCGGGCATGATTTGTACGACTTTTTTAGACTCTGCAGCCTTCTGCAGTGAGGCAGCAGCACCTGAAGGGGTAGGAATTCGGGAGCCTGCAGCCATAGCAGCAGTTTTGACCAATGAATCTGGGTTAATAGCAGGTTTTGGCAATGGATTTTTTGGGATTACTCGAGGTTTTGAAGGTACTAAATCTTGCTGATGCTCGGATTTTGGACCACCAGATGCATTATTGGCAGCAGGAAAATGCGAAGAATTACTTGGTGCACTGCCTGAATTGGGCCCCACTGAAACAATACCACAATTTAGGTTAAAATTAGAGCTTGCATAAATGGATGAAACAATTGGGGAGGTGAGTAAGTTAACTTTGGATATTCAATGTACAATTAATATACAATACACAAAGGCGGAGTCAAGAAAGGGAAGAGCCATGTTCTGGCAACCATCTAAATATATCTCGGCATAATGCTGGAAAACAGAATTGCTACTAAAGATTTTGAATTCCCGATTCCACACTTAGCACAGAAATGTTGTTTTCTAAAGGTATTGTGCATGCAGAAATTACCATTTGGAGTTTGGATTGTCAAAAGTCTTCTTGGAAAGGAAGTAAACGAAGTCAGTACAATGGACACCTTTAAGATCATATTTCATTACATCTGCAAACACTTAACCCTTGGTTTTCCATAGTGCAACCTACCAGCATATTGAAGGAATTCAGATTTTAGCTCCTAATTGTTGAATTTTAATCAATGTATAAACCACACGCCGATAAGGTCAAAGACATCAGACGTTCCACTTATCATATGACACGCTTAAAAGCCCCCATCTAGGCAGTATTGCCCACTTGCTTTTTCTTTTTTTAATTCCATTCTCTCACAGTAGTGTGGGAGCAGACATATGGACATTATTGATGACATACAGTTAAGACAATTACCATTAGTGCTGATTGGACAAGCTGCTCTCAAGTTATCACCGAGAGCCAGGGACATCGCATGACGAGCTGCAAGCTGAGCCTCCGACAGCTGTGAGCCATTCCCCACCATGTTCCCATGTCGCTTTCTAATAATTGCCCATCTCTGCACAATGAAATACTCATTATTTTAAAGTAGATTTACATTGCAGAAGATCTTATAACAGGCAGAAATTATTTTACAAGTTCCGTTAACTGCTTTGTTAACATCTAGATCTTGCTAGTTCCACAAATAAATACTTTGGCATCTCAGTCACTTTCCACCATTTTAACCAACGGAACCTGGGAAAACCAAGACATCCACCAAATCATACAAGATGACGGTAGACTTCCAAGGCATATTTGTGAGTACCCTTTTTTTCTTTTTTTCTTTTTTTTTTGGGGGTTTGGTGGTTGGGGAGGAGGGGAGGGGGGACTTGGAACATGATATCACTAGCAGTGTTCAGTTTAATTAAAATGATAGGCCGTGACATGGAGAAACGGTATTTAGACATTACTTCACCATATTTACTTAGCTCGATTAACACTTACATTCCCGACTAAATCTTCTTCAGGCACTTAAGAAATTCATTACAACCGAAGAGGAATAGAATGGAGGACGAGATATCCTCAAATTAATATAATAGTGCTACATCACTAGACCAAAGTTTTGGATTAGTGTTCTAAAACTGTAAAAGAAGTTTACTAAAAAATTGGAAATGGCTTACAGTCTCAATCCACATAGATGAGAGCAGAATTATCCCATCGTACAGCAAAATAGAACCATAGAAAACTGAATTTATTCTAGTAAATTTGGCATACCTCCTCCTTTATATAGGTAATACTACAAATGAAATTGGGAAGCACCTGATGAAAGCAACTATGATATAAATAGGTACATTTTATCATTGTTAAGAGCGTACATTGCATCATATTATGCCACTTTTGCAATGAAACTTAATGTCTTTAACATCCATGAAGTTAGCAAGTGTGAGTGGGAGAACAATATAACCTAAAATGTGAAACTTCGGATATTGCCAGCCATGATTCAGTTGCTTCCACTGTTCAAAATAGGAAAAAGCATACACAATGAGGACATACTTACCTTCCTTACAAAATTTACCATTTGACAAGGTGGGGCCCTTTTACTTAGTTTTTGTTTAAATCTAGTTACTAATTTTGATAAAGTAAATGATTTATTAATGATGGGTGAAACCCTGTATATAACCCACCAAAGGTAGAGAACATACACTACAATATGATTCTCTACGAAAAAACCCAGTCAGCTATACACATAGGAACCTCATGGGTATATCAAGAAGAAACTAGAAACAGGAGACTACTTTGCAATTAAATCTTCTCCTATTTACTTTTCCATAGTCGTCCAGAAAACAACTGATTATTTTCAATTTATTGACCTTCCTAGCAAATTTTGATGATAGGTCCAGACTTGAGCAATCTGTAATATTGGCTTGAGTGCTCATGAATTTTGCTTCTCAAAAAGGATGCGTTAACGAATAACAACAAGTGTTCAAGCTCAGATTAATTAATTAGCTGCACTAGACAATATCTTTTCTTGTCATTTACTATTTTGCTGCATTTAGAAGGCGCAATTATTGAATGAGATCCATTTAGTAAACTGCAACTGCAAGTAACCCAAAGATTAATGTTCTTTTAACTCCAAGCGAGGATTTATCAGTATAATAAGAGACTGAATTTGTCCTCTATCAAAAGAAATTTCTTTTGGCCGTTAATTCATCCTCTATCAAAATTACTTTCATAAAAAAAAAAGCAAATGAGAAACGAAAAGTTCCCGATCTGCAGAACAGCACATACTTGTACTAACTCCTGTTAAGGACAAGGTCAAGAGAATTTGCTAAACCAGAGTGTAAATATGACCAGGGAACATATAAATTGCCAAGTATATAGAAGATTAAACCTGAGAGAGTTGTGACGCTGTTCTATCTCCCTTAAAATCCCCTTTCAATATATTTGCCCAATTTCCTTCACCACACTTTTGTACTGCAGCAATGAGTTCCATATCTTCTGCTGCAGACCAAGGCTTTCGTCTTCGCCGAGGAGGAAAGTTGGAATTAGCTGGCCCATTAGTGTCCACAACCTCAGCAGCCGTGACAGATGGAAGTGGTTGTTTTTCCACAGAAACTGGGACCGTAATTTTCATCCCATAAGCTGAAATACCACGGAGTGAATTTTCTGTAGCGGTTCCAGAGGTTTGCCCATTGGGTATGCTTATAGTCAATGGAGCTTCAATAGTATTTCCATTTGACATATGTGAATCACATGGAACCCCAGAAGCAATTAATACCTATACAAGCCCAAAGCAACAAAAATTGACTGTATGAGAAAAGAGAGAAGCATGCGTGTCACCCTGAAAATCAGCAACTAATTCTAGTAATAGGTAGGAGTATGCACTTAAGGGTAGAGGATGGCATCCTAGCATAGTCAAATAAAAGCGAGTGCAATGTTTCTTTGTCTCAAAAATAAAAAGCAAGTCCAAATACATAAATAACCAATGCACGCCACATACTAATTCCATTTCTAAACCATGCAAAATGAGCTTGTCAAAAAGTAGTTATGGCCTAAGAGGTGCATTTCCCAGACCTGAGGAATAATATCTCGTTCTTAACCCATTTATGTATTTCATCATATATGTAATGGACTAAATTCAAGATCCTTCATAGGTAAATGTAAAGCCATCAGCACAGTTCATTGACTTAAGAAATTTCAGCAGTTTTGGGAAATCTGTTAGACCTTCACCTAGAAGCATATTGTGCTGCAGAAATAAAATGACTAATTTACTACTTAAATTACAGCTGTTCGGCTGTTAAGGTTGGGCAGGTCTTGTTCGTTTACCTTCACATATGTTGTAGCCTCTGCTGAAGCCTCACTGCTTACGGGAGGAAAAGCTTCCAATTCATATTCTAGATCACTATCATCATCCTGCCATCAAAGAAATAAAAATCAAACCATAAAATCATAAAATAAAAAAATCACAGTGGAAGTTCAAAAAATAAGGTGGATCATTCATGTCACTGAGAAAACAGATAATGGATATCGACCACCATACATTAGTTACCAATACGTAGTATTTGAGAATATACATTATTCAATGCTTTCAACACAGATCACAATAAACACTAGATTCAATGCAAAATTATTTTCTGCTGCCACTTATTGAGTAGACAATATGAAACAGTAAGAAGGGATCTTCTCAGGAGCAGATAAATGAAGCTGCTCACAGGTTTATAATCCCAAGCTTAGGCAATATATGCACAAAGTTGACCCCAATTTAGCCAGGAAACATAATGAGTTGCGGCATTCCATTCCCAATTTGGAGAAGGGAAACAGACCACGGGAGGATGTCTTCCATGCTACACTAACAGATATACAAGAAGCAAAAGCATTTGATAATGTATGACCAACATGAGACTGGTTTCTTCAGCCCTTTTTCTATGTATTGGTGTTCTATATGACCAACATGAGACTCGACTTGTTAGATATTTCGGAGGTTCAGTGAGCACCATGCCGACTCTCTCTACATTTTCTTCTCTTCCATTTACCAAATCAACAACCACTACTACTACTACAACACATCAATCCAAGCTAATTGCAATTGCCATATGAATCTCAACTATCCAATTTGCTCTATATGGGCCTGTTTAGGGGTTTGTTGAATCACAACAACAACAACTACTACGCCTCAGTCCCAAGGAAGTTTAGGTCGGCCATGTGAATCCTCATTGACTATGTCATTCAATTTAACTCATCTCATGCCAATATTATGCAAGTTCAAATTAGAAGTTCCGTATATTTTCTAAACATATAAATCTCTCAAAGGCTAAACTACTCCTAGAAAGCATACATCTTTCTCTGATTTAAAAGAAAACAAAAAGAAAAAAAAACTGCAAAAATTCGAATAAATGCCCTATAGTTCCTCAAAAGCATATCGGTAACTCCAAATTCAAATAATCATCATAGAACAAGTCCTTCACATAAACATCACACACACAGAGTTGTTGGAGAAGTAAATGAACTAATTTCTGGGAGTAGGACTGACCAGAGGTTGAGCAGAATCATCATCAAATTTGTCAAGCAAACCATGGTGATAAGCCAAATGGCGCCACAGCATCTGGTACTCTCTGGCATTTGTAATCCCAGTTGTGGTCTTCTTCACCAATTCATTCCAGTCAATTTTCACATCTTGAACTTGTGACACCTCTTGCAACACCGTCAACACAGTCATTGCTGTATACCTTTCAAACCCACATTTACAAAACAATCAAAACTAATATGCATAATATATTCACTAAACAATACAAACACACATGAAACATATAAGGGGCGGAGCTAGAAGCCTGAATGCAAGTCCAGCCGAACCCAGTAGCTTTTGCTCAAACAGTATAAATATAAATTGAGAATGAAGTTAGTAGCACTTAAAGCCGTCGTTCTAAAATCTAGCAATCATGAAGTTGAAATCATGGCTCCGCGTTTGATTACATAGATACATACATATGTGTGTCTGTGCAGTGTAGTAAAGGCAATAGCACAACTTAAAAAAATATATCCAAGAACAATACAAATACACACACATATACACATAAGTTTTCAAGAACAAACTTGAAAACAAAAAAGAACCAACCTTTGTAAGAGAGAGGATACATCATCTTCACCAATAAAGACCCTTTTCTGTAACTTCCTTTTCTCCACCATTTTCTTTCAATTCTTGGCTTCTTTTTTCAGAACCCCACTTCAATTTTCTCCAAAATTTTTGAAGGGTTTTAGGAGAGAGAGACAAAGGAAAAACCCCAACTGCGTTTTTCTTGAGTAAAAGGGAGGAGGAGAAAGACCGACCGTTGAAGAGCGTGGACACCACGAACACTCCGCAATGGTGCCACCAATTCACGCAGAGAGAGAGAGACCAAGTCAAAGTGAATATTTGAGATTTTCTCTTCTTTTCCAAGCATCCGAATCTAAATTTATTTTGGGCTAACAATATCTCAAATGAAAAAAAGAAATGTTTTTACAACTTTTTGTTAATAATGAAAATGCCTAGTTTAATTAACAAAATAGTTAAGACTTTGATTTGATGAACTCTAATTTCCATGCTAAGTACATTCATCACTAATTGTTTTAATATTCTGCAAAGTTTCGTCTTTTAATTTTGCCTGTGAGATTCTTAAAAAAAAAGAGCCTAATTTCAACGTCTCCGATTAGTATCTTTTCTTGGACTTGAGGACGAGGGGCTCTACAAGACATCCTTGAGACTCTAGTCTTATATCTTCCACATAGATATAGATATTGAATGCTTCTTCTTATAATGAAATCGAATTTATGACATCGTCGATTAGAAAATATCAAATTGAATAAATAATAGGTCAACATCATATTCATTAAAAATTGATCGCTCTAACCTTAATTCTTGATTGAATTTGTTCCCACAAAATTTTATAAAATATCATTGTTTTTAAATCATTTTGAATATGTTTATACATCTTTTTTGTGTGTGAAATAATTACGTAGTTTTCAAGAAATAATTCGTCTTTTGAAAGAAAAGTTAAAAAGAGAGAGAATGTTTTCACATTAGAAATATTCACAAAATTACTTTAATCAACAAAAAGTTCAACTTGATGAAATCTAGATTTCAAGCTTTGATACTGCCTAACTGCTAACTACCTCTACCTTAGTTTATGATTAAATTTGTTTGTACAAAATGCCACTGTTTTCAAGTAATGTCTATTTATCTTATTTTGTGAGAAAGTAGTCTTTTGAAAGACAAGTTAACGAACATTTTGACTCAAAATCCTTCAATTCCCAACTTCATGTCAAAAGACTCAATTCAATGGTCACTTGATTATTGTTAATCTAGTTAAGTCTTTTATCATTCTTTATTGGGCTCTAATCTTGTAATCAAACTCATAGCTAGTTTTAGTTACTGAGTTTGCAATTAAGTATCTATATATATTTAATAAGTTTTTAATATAAATAAAATCTAAGCAAACCTGTAGTTGACTCTCTCCCTTCGCCCCTGCTTACATGTCATGCATTATATCGTTAAATTGCTCTACAATTATGCAATCATGTCCAAATTCAACTAAGGTACAAAGTGGATGTTGATATGATGGAGGAGATGCTTTCTTGCAACGTTTGAGAAATTTTTTTATTGAAAAACGTTTCGAAAAGTAAATGTGAAAAATGGAAGGAAGGTCAATTTTCTAAATTTGGATGAACATGTCTTTAATGTGAAGATCGTGTAACTTAACATTCATATTAGTATTAGTACAATAAATAAAGGGAAAGAAAATTCAAAATTTTAAGTTGTGGAAAGATAAATACTCCATAATAACCAATCCAAGATAATTAAGAAGGATTAAATATAATGTTGATTGAAAAATTGGAAGAATAATAAATTCATACATCATCACAAGTTACACTTTTTCTTTTCTTTCAACAAGAAAAACGTTTAGCAACATTAATTCTGAATTAGATATGGCTTTAATTAATACAAGGACAAGTGCTGTATATCAAGTCCAGTTCATAAGAAATGTAGAATTTAAAAGGGGAACATTTTGTCTCTTGCTCCTCATTCCATTTAGATACAGTAACATCTCTCATGAGGGAATTCTGCAGCTCTCTCTCTCATTTCCATGAAGCCTACAAAAGTACAATATATGAGATATTTAGATATCGCAACTTAACAATTCTATCACTACTTTTTTATCATTTACGTCCTAGAAGAGGAATAGGTTGGGAATTTCTTCTCATCTGTTTATGCCTTAGTAGGCAGAGGTGGGAGATAGCAATGCAAGTATCATGTGGAATAGTCGAGGTCGGACAAACGGACCCGAACACCAACCGACATCTATCTATATAGAATAGGAGAGCAAAGCCATATTATTGTGCCAAGTGTCAAAACGACATATCGACACGTGTCATGCTTTAGGACATTCAAAAAAAATTTAAAAAGAAAAAAAAATACAAAAATTAAATAACTAGCCAATTCAGAAACGTGACAGTTACCACTTACATTGTTAGTAGTAATAAGAAACGTGAGTGGTAACAGTTACCACTTACATTGTTAAACTACCATGACAAGTTTTGATGGTAGATTTTCTACCCTTTTTATGTATTTTCACGGTAAAATAATAACTTTTTTTTTTCCAAAAACTTGATTGTACATGGCATAATTAAAGGACAAGTTTTAATTTTTTTTTTTAATTTGAGTCCACGTTTTAAGTCCCATGTTTGTGTGCCCAAGAGTCCACGTTTGTGTACCTATTTCAGTCCCACGTTTTTTGGACTCCCACGTTCAGTTTTTTAAATTTCAGATTTCTTTACTTTTTTAAAAATAAGTATTTCTTTATTATAAATAAATTAACTGATTTTAGATATACGGTTTTTAATGTTTAACTTTTAAAAAATAAATCTGATTTAGATTATTATTTAAAATTAAAAATTAAAAATGGCACATTTTAAAAATACTCTTTTAACTTTGAACCATGAAGACCGGAATTTTTTTTATTAAAGAGCTTTATTTAATTCAAAATTTTCAAATTTATTTATTTCTAATTGATTATATGATCTTAAAACATACATTTAACAAATTAACTAATTCAAAATTATTTGGAAATAAAAACTCCTTCAAAAATCGATCATCTACTTTTGAACCATGAAGACCATAAATTTTTACGTATTTTACTCTTTAACTTTAAAAGAAAACTCATTTAAAATCCACTTTCCTTAAATTTTCTCTCCAGAACCTAACCTAAGGATAATGGACAATCGCTCAACCACGCACAACTCACGAAACATATGCAGATTGAAACCCACAAAACATACTTCTCCAAACTGGCGGCCAACTTCCATTTCTCCCGTGTTCTTAAACTCAAATATCGCTAAAAAAATTCAAGGAAACATACAGTTTATGAAAAATATTAATCAACGCTGTAACAATTTCAAAAAGGCAATATGTGGGAAGTACCAAATCGTTAGAATCCTGACGCTATATTCTCGATTGAATTGGTTCTACCAGAAGAAAAGGTATTAAAAATATTTTATTGTCTTATACTTTGTTTTGGTAACTCTGTTTTTTTAATTTGCATGTGTGCGCATTCATGGGATAATCAGTAGCAAAACTCGATTGAAGAATCAGTGCACCAGACATATGTATCCTCAAATATCTTTCTCGGTGATATACAGATACATGTATCACGTTTTGCTTCTCTATTTTTTTATTTGCAAATTTGGCTTTTTTGATTTGCTATTCGTATATTTTTTTTTAATTTCTATGTGCATATACATGGGATAATCAGTAGCAAAATCCAGTATTTAACTTGCAGATTTCCGTTAAATTGTATATTTTAGGTCTCTTTTTTTTAACTCAATTATTTTCTTATATTTGTTTGGATCCCTAATATTCAAGGCATATATGAAGAGAAGGAATGCAAGGTAAGTACATCGATCACTTTTAATTTGTCCTTTAAGATGACACTTATTTTACTTATACATGTGGATACATATATTTGACAATAACATTTTTAGATCTGGTCAAACTCGGATTCTTCGAAAGATACACGAAAAACTTGATTATTAGAATTCAAGGGTTTATATTCAGTAGTAAACTTTTCGTTCTTTTTGTTCTTCACAAGCAAATTTTCACTTTTCATTCTTTTTGCTTCTTTCTTTTTTGTTATAAATTGTTCGATAAAACATGAAATACACTACTAAGAATCGAGTTCATCTATCATACCATAATGAATTACATTCTGCGTTAAGTTACAAGAGACTCTGTTGTACTTTGTTGAAATTTAAGGTTTTGGTTGAAACTTTATAAATTCTTGAAACTATACCAACGCATACAAAATGTCATCTATTCTGATTTTTCAGTTGTGGAATGATTATCATATAAAAGTTTCACAATCGTTATCTCCAGAAACTATAGAACAATGTATATGAATATACACATATATTCTTCATTTTCACTTTTACCTTTCACTTTTTTTTCTTGGGAGAATGAACAGCGTCGTGAAAATAAACTTTGTAGACTAGAAAAATAACTTAACAACATTACATCGTTCCATTTTGCTGATATGTGAATGTGTAATCTGACAAATCTCCCTGAAACTTTCCAGTCAAATAGTAATTTGTTAGTTGTTAAATTATCTATCTATATTTGCAGGCAATCACTTTATTTAAATTGTACAGTTGCAGGAAGAAGGACTAGCAACTATCATTTCACTTTTCATTGGTTGCTTTTAGGTATGACATAGTAGTTAGAACAAGTTATTGGTAAAGATATAATGAAATTATTTGAATATAAAAATCAAACTGTTGTGGTGCTAAATTTTCATATTAGTTTTATGGAATAACAGAATGTAAACATTTGTTTGGAATAAAGCTGACACATTACAACAACTAAAAGAAAAGAAATGTTAGCAAATTTATATCTTCAGAATTCTATAAAGTGCATGTACTCTCTTAATCAGTTAAATAAGAACATATTATAAAGGCGAAATACATAAACCGCCCCTTGAAGTTGTCCTCAACGGCCAGCTAAACACCTCAATTGACCCCTTTATAATTTAGACACTTCAAGTGATTATTAAGTGAATCAAATAGACACCCGAGTGCAACAAACCAGATACGTGAGTTACACTTGCCAATGATGTTTCAAATGAGTCAATCAGTGAACGCCACGTGTAATTTATAACTAAAACTTAACACTTATAATTAACAAAAAAAAGAATTTAAAGGAGAAATAAACTTTTCCCCTAATGCAGCGCCCCCCCTCCCCCACTTCATCTTCTTCCTTCCAGAACCAAAACTAGCGCTACCCCACCCGCATTCATCTTCTTCCTTCTGCCCTTCTTCTGCGTTTCCTTCCCCTTTTCCCTAATCCTCTCTCCATCCAACTAATTAAACACAGATCTTCCCATCCCAAAAGTAGCTTCAGTTAGGTTTAATGAATATTAGTTCACTAAAATACCCACACATCCGAAAAGTAGCAGAACTGGGGACTGGATAGCAAAAAACTGAAGGCGAAGGAGAGAGGGCCAGCGAAGACGAATGAGAAGAGAAATATCGAAGAAGGAGGATCTAAAATTTGGCTTCTACAAATTGAAGTTGTTTGAGAATGAAAATCGGTGGGTGTTATTTTTGATATTTGGATTGTTGTGTTAATACTGATTTGAGCGAATTTTATTGAAGAAACAGAATTTCACCATTATTGAAACTGAAGCTTTTGTTTCTCTAATTTATTATTTTTGGTGCAAGATTATCGATCGGTTCAAATAATTGGTTGTTGTTTGTGTGTTTCTGTTGGAATGAATGTGTTGTTAGATGAAAGATGGTGTTTATCTAGTGGAGATTTGGTGGTTTTTCACAACTATTGTTGCTGCAATTTTGTTGTTTTTTCGGCTAGCTTGGGATTAGTTTTGGCTTGACGGATATAGGCGAAGCTCTGGAGGTTATGGGCAGTAAGTTTTTTGATGAAAGGCGATATTTTTTTTAGTGATTTAAGGTGGCTTAGTTGGAGCTTTAGTGACTGATTTTCATGGAAGCTATGGTGGTTTCATGGTGGTTTGCACTTGAAAGAAGAAGAGAGGCTAAGCTGAGTATTTCATGTTTTTTCTTTAAAAAAAAAAAATAGGCTGCAAAAAATGTATCACGCGCTCAAAATTTGGTTAGCAATCACGCATGTGCCACATCAGCGACATGTGTTTACTTGATTTGAGTTATAGTCACTTGAAGTGTCTAAATGATAAAGGGGTCCGTTGAGGTGTTCAGCTGGTCGTTGAGGACAACTTCAAGGGGCCGTTTATGTATTTCGCCTATTATAAATATAAAGTGTTTAGCAATATAGCTATTTCATACAGAATTATCAAATCCTTTCAAATATTAATATAGCTATTTCAAAGTGTGTAATTAGCTACTTTATGTTTATATTGCTATCTCCCTAGGAATGCTAATGTTTAGAATGTTCACTTAGTACAACAATTTCATGGAGGCATGTATGACTCGCAGTAAGAAAAGAAGTGACTAAATATTCATGGACGTGTATGCACTCTTCGATGCGTGACTACTCTTCCAATATCAAGTTTCAAATCTATTATATGATTTTTTGCTACGAGTCATGTGTCTAGAACTCTGCTCCTTTTCCATCTGAAACTCTATGCTCTTTTACATGTATATGCGTTTCTGTCTAGGCTCAGTTCGTTATCATATTTATCAATATGATGGTAATATGACTGCTACCTGTTCATGGGAACTGTGGCTATTCCTCATGCCCTTTTTGATAAACATGCCGCTGTTTCTCCAGTTGTGTTGTAGGTGTCCTTTGCGAATCTCTTTATTACCTTTTTATGCTGAGATTTACTTTTAGGTGTCCTTGTGAATCTCTTTGGTGTTTTGACTTGCATCATTACTGTTAGTAAGTAAAACAGTACAATAGAGGCTTGCTCCTATATTTAGAGGCTTGCTCCTATATATTCCTCTTTATTTTCTTTTTTTTTTCTTGTGATATGTATAAGCAGTACAAAAATATTTGTGTTAGCCATTAGACATAATTCTCCTAACTAACTTTTAAAGCAAAGTTGCATCGTTCTTTCTCCTTCTCTTTATCTTCTTAGAAATATATACAAGGATGTTTTGGTTTGCATAATCACTTTACAACAATCAAGCGTGGCATTTTATTGTAGTTACTTCGGAAACACTTGTGCATAGTCAAATCCTTGATCTGGACAGGTACTAAAATAATTCCTTTTTATTCTGAACTTATGTTATTTTTAGGTATCCTTTGTGAATCTCTTTGTTATTTTGGCTTGCATCATTACTATTAGTAAGTAAAATAGTACAAAAGAGTTGCTCTTTTTCCTTTGTTTTTCTATATTTTTTTCTTCTGTGATCTGTAGAAGCAGTACAAAAATATTTATAGTAACCATTAGACATACTTCTACTAACTAACTTTTTGAAGCAAAGTTATTGTCTACCCTTCATTTAAATACCAAGATTTTGCTTTCGGCAAGTTTCAAACGTAAAATCATTTTCTATTTCCTTTTTTCTACTTTCCGTTTCATTCATCCACAATCAGAGGATAAGTCTCACGGAAAAGTATTCTGCTTGCACTTTTTTCTTTAGAAAACTTACCTATAACTAGATTTGTCATATAGCATCTTCATAAAGGAATTACCAGAGGTTGTAGTTGGTGAATCAATTTGCTTGAAACTCTCATAGAAGTTATAGTTCATTTTCTTTAGTAACAACTTCTTTCATTTTCAGGTCAATTTGCTGTAAATCTTGGTTGCAAATATTGACATATGCATTCTTTTCCCCCTAGACTTTCATCTTTCACTCCGTATTGCACCCTATCTCAGGGGGGTGTTCTTTATTTTGAACATTAGGTATGCCATAATCCGATTTCTACCTTTTTACTTTCTAAGTTTAGTCATGATCTCTTTGACTCTTTGTTCAAGTTTATGTTAACTTTCTTTACCCAAACTTTTCCCTCCAAGTTATCTCACATTTTACATTTT